CCACTCTGACACCACGGGGCCATGGAAAATGGGAACACTTCTCAACATTGTCAACTCCCCACTCAGTGCACCAGCACTGCCATGGCTTTACTCCTAAAATGCACCACCGGGAGTGGGGATTGTAGGAAGTGAAGTGCAAAGAACAGGGTGAACTTCTCTGGTGGAATAAGCAGCTCATCCCGTTCTTACTGGGCAGAAATTCCTGGCTGGGAGGGTAGGGAGGCCCTGGCCCAGGTTGCCCAGAGAAGCTGTGGCTGCCCCTGGATCCCTGGAAGTGTCCAAGGCCAGGTTGGACGGGGCTTGGAGCACCCTGGGCTGGTGGAAGGTGTCCCTGCCCATGGCAGGGGGTGGCACTGGATGATCCTTAAGGTCCCTGCCAGCCCAAATGGCCCCTCACAGGAACAGCTGGTGAGCTGTGGCTCAGAGGCTCCTTGCTGCAAAGGGCTGGGACAGCCTCAGACCCCACAAGAGCTCGGGAGGAACCTTTCAGCCACCCTTTTCCCCCCAGGCAGCCCTGCCTGTCTGAGGTGCAGGAGGGGAACCCGGGGCTGTGTGCAGCCCAGGGCCGTGTGTGGGTGCAGGGGGGTTTAGGAACAGGCTGCACTGCACACACCAGGCTGGCTCGGGCTCCAGCCACAACACCCCCTCTGTGGTGCCTGAGGGAAAGGACACCAAGGTGGGGGTGAGGAAACCCTGCCTGTGCCCTGCCCTCACCTTGAGCGTGTGCATGGTGCCCCCCCGGAAGGCCACGGGGGACAGCAGCGTGGGGGGCAGCCCCGCCTGCGGCCCCGCCACGGCCACCAGGCTGCGGCAGTTGATGAGCAGGTTCAGCAGGGTCAGCGTGGCCGAGCCCCTCACCAGCGCCAGCGACTCGGGCCTGTGGTCCACCTGCACCTCCTGCTTCTCCTTGCGCCTGGGAACGGGAGTCACGGGAAAACCACGGCCAGGGGGGAAATATCCCCGTGCAAAGGCAGAGCTGGAGCAGCAGAGCCCCCCCCACCCCCTCTGAGCAATCGAGTCCTTCAAGCCCAAAAGCCAAACCCCACCAAGTTTGCACTGATTTGTTCTTCGAATATTAAGCAGCATCTTAATCCTGGCTTCAGATTCCTAGAAATTCTTGTAAAGGAACTCAAGAAGACATGCACAGTCTCTCAGCATGCAGGAATGGGAGGATTCATATTTGGAAAACAGCTCTCAAAAGCTCTGAGAGAACTTAAACCTGTACCACAGCACTGTAGCAGCCGCAGGGTTTCCCGGTGTCGCACCTCTGGAAGTGCAAAGGAAGGATACAGTTGGATAGAAATGGTGTCTGGTTTCTTCACCTCGTCTTGGACTCCCATCTCCTCTAGCCAAGAGAAACTTTCCTCATCATCATCGCTCAGAGCTGGTTCCCTGGAAAGCACAGGATCAGTGTTAGCAGGGCAGCACCTCCGAGGAGTTTTCCAAATGGGCTGTGCAGGAGCCTGGAGATGCCCTTGAATTCCAGCACTGCACAGGGCTGTCACTTACTCTGCATCCTCTGCACTGCTGCCCCCTCTGAGGCCGTCAGCCACTTCTGTTCCCAAATCCTCCTCGGAGTTCTTCTGTCTCCTGGCTCTTTCTTCTACGAAAGGTAAGGAGAACTCTATGCCTGGAGCAGAGGAGAGAGAGCAGTGAGCGGTTCTGTCGCACAGCCCCTGCCTTCTGTGAGCCCTGCCCGTGCCGGCAGGACTGGCTGCACTTGCCTTCGCTCCTGAGGGCCTCCCTGAAGCCGCGGGTGGTGGGGGCGATGGCGGCGCTGGGCACGGCGCTGCCCCCCAGCCCCGCGGCGCGGAACAGCACCGTGAACTGCGGGCAGCACACGTAGAAATAGGGACACAGCCCCGCCTTGAGCAGCCGGTACAGCGAGGAGAAGCTCACACACCTGGGAACGAGCAGCAACAGCCCTCACGGCAGGCATTCCTTGGCTACTGACATCGCACAGGAACTTGGGACGACGGATGGAGGGACAGCACACAGGGAATGGCTTCCCACTGCCAGAGGGCAGGGTTAGATGGGAGACTGGGAAGGAATTCCTGGTTGGGAGGGTGGTGAGGCCCTGGCATGGGTTGCCCCTGTGGCTGCCCCTGTATCCCTGGAAGTGTCCCAGGCCAGGTTGGACAGGCCTTGGAGCAACCTGAGCTAGTGGAAGGTGTCCCTGCCCATGGCAGGGGGTGGAACGAGAAGATCCTTAAAATCCCTCCCATCCCAAACCATCCTGTGATTCTGTGATTAATTAAAATCCCATTGTCTTAATCTTACCAAATACATGAATAATTTGGTTCCACTCACCAGTCACTCCTGAGCACTTGCTGCAAGGCCTCATCCTGTGCCCAAGGACAAGCCTTTCCAGCTATTTTCCTGTCTGCCCCAATCCGAGGGAACAGCGGCAGCCACGGCAGCGAAGGGTGGAGCCAGTACACGAGGCTCTGCTGGAAGGCACAACGCAGCTCCGTGGACAGCTGGGGTTCCTGGAGATCCAAGAGGGTTTGAGGAGGACGGGAAAGCTGCCAGACACAAAGCTGGAGCTCCAGCCACCCTCCCAGCTCTCACCTGCACACTCTGGGGCAAGGTGGTTTCTGTAGCTCTACAGTGCTGAGCAAGTCCCTGAGCTTCCTCTTGTGCTTTTAGATGTTCCGTCCAGGTGAAAGGTTGGGAAGACATGAATAGAATCCGTGTTTTAATACTCCAGTCTGCAGGGAATTCCTGTCTTGGTGAGGAGGGAACTTTGGGTACAGCAGTAGGTGAATGAAGGTCCTGTCCAAACAGAGACAGCATCAGTTCAGTCACAGAAAATTAAACCTGTTCACAAGTGAAACCAAAAGCACACTTTAGACGCAGCTGATGATTTCAGTCAGTACCAGATTCTAATAGAAATAACCCATTTTGTTGCTTATAAAACCACACAAGATGGTTTTCACCCACAGGAGTCTTTCCAGCAATCATAAACAGGAACAGATCAAAGGAGAAATGATTCAAAAAAATGAGAAAACAGCTAAAACCTTCCCAGCACTGTGCGCTGTTTCCTACCTCGGTCAGGGCGAGGATGTCGGCTCCTCCCGCGGGCTCTGCTCTCCCGGGGGGCTTCTCTTCACAGGCAGGCTCTAAAAACTGAACGAAACAGCAGCGTAAGGCCCAAAGGAGCAAAGGAAGCACCGGGCCGATCATTTTAAAAAACGCCCCGGCAGTGACATTTCACGGCTGATCCCAAGCACGTCCAGGCTGCAAACACCCACCCCTGGGGCGAGCACGAGATCCCCACACGGTGCTGAGCAAGAGTCCAGACTGACTTGTATGAGGCCGGGCCGAGCCCCGGTGAGGATTTAAAGGGGGCTCGGGGCTGAGGGCGAGGGCTGAGAGCGCGGGCCGAGGCCGAGGGTGCTGAGGGAGAGGACTGAGGACGAGGGCTGATGGCGACGGCGCTAAAGGGCGAGGGCGCCGAGTCCCCTCCCCGCGTCTCCCCTCGCCTCTCCGGCGCCACGCGGAGAGCCCCCGGTGCCGGGGCTCGGTCCCACCTGCCAGAAGGGCGCTGCCGATGGATCCCCGCCCGCCGGGGCCGGGGGCTGAGGGGCCGCCGCCCGCTGAGGCGCGTTGTTGTTGTTCAGGCTGCAGAAGGGGTTGCGGCGGGCGGGCGCGGAGGGGCCCCGCGGGGCCGGGGCGGCGGCGGCAGCGGCGGGTTCGCTCCTCCGCCGGCGTTTGCGCTTCAGCCGCAGCATCGCCGGCGGCCTCTGGAAGCCGGGCGGGTCCCCGGGCTCGGCGGGGGCGGCCATGGCCGAGCGCAGCCCGCAGCACCCGCGGGCCCGGCCCGGCGCCAAAGGCCGCCCGCTCCGCCCCGGGGCGGCGCTGAGGGAGCGGCGCCGCCATCGCTGCGCCCTCAGGGCTCGGGGGGAGAGCGGCTCCCGCCAGCGCCCTTCGGCCGGGGCACGGACTAATAAAGGGGCAAAAAAATGCTGCTCAGGAACATCAGTGGAGCTCCGTTCGGAAACCAGCCCCAACTGCTGTGGGCGGGGGTGTCAAAGTCACCACACGGCTGCACCAGCGCAAAAAGCACCTGTGGAGACGCTGCGGCCCGGTCCCAGCTGTGTGATATGTGAGACTAAACACACAGGGTTTAGTCTTTTATCCCAAATACACTAAAAACCCAGGGGGTTTTATCCCAGATAAACTAGTCTCTTTGGGCTCGAGATCTAGTTTTGGTCACAGCAGTCTGCGGTACATGGGGTTCAAAAGGCATAATACGTGATAAAAATAAATAAATAATAAATTACTGCTGATTAATTTAAGTTGCTGGTCGGGTGTATGAAATTCACCACAGGGCAAAAATCACCTGTGGGGATACCAGGACCAGCTGGGTGAGAGGTGCCACTAAACACACGGGGTTTAGTCTCTTTGGGGTAAAACCCCTTAGTTCTTAAGTCTATTTGCAATAGAAACTAGTTCTGATTGCACTACTCTGTTGTAGCTGGGGTTCAAAATGCACAATAAATAATAAAAATAAATGATTGTAAATAAATGTGGTTCAAGAGGCATAAAGAGGTACTTAGGATCAACATATCTACTGGCAAAAGATTTAATAAAAGAAAAAAAATATCTTTCTTTAGCAGTCTTGTCAGTGTTTTGTTTTTGGTTTTTTTTTTTTTTTTTTGTTTTGTTTTGTTTTGTTTTGTTTTTTTTCTTTTAAATTTTTTAATTTCTTGTTTCCTGTGGTCTGCTTTATCTTGCAAACGCTTAGGCTCAAATGAGCAACATCAGATAAAAATCAACAGTTGGGTACAAGGTTTCAGAAGAACTGTGGCACTAAGGGAGGGTTCACATGCTTTAGACACGTGTGTACACACGTGCATAACAGCATCCCTTCTTTTCGGGGCTGCATTACATCACATGAGCAGTACAATCAGATTTCCTCCTGTTTTCATACACTGCCCATGCATCATTTATCAGGAACCTGCTCCAAATCCAGTGAGTGACAGAAGACAGATTAATTATGGTTCTGGATGATTTTTTTCCCCCTTTAATTTCTTATGGTTGAAAACCAACAGCAGCTGGGTTTGCCTGTAGATGTTACTGATGTTTGTAACTGGGGCAGGGCAGACAAGATCTGTAGGTCAAGGCTGCTGCTTTGGAAGCTGCTGATGGGAACATTCTGCTCATGTGGATTAAAAAAAACCCTGAAGTCACAGGAGCTTCGAGACCACTTGTGCTGAGGTACAAAGGATGTTTAAATTCTGGTAACAGAACTGTCTGAAAGTGTACACTGATTCACTCCACAAATATATTACGTTTCTTTGTCTCCCACAGGCTCAGAAATGAGGAGATTGCCTGTCAGAACTGGATGACTTGTCTTTTTCTGGCTTGATTCCTCTGAACAATTTCCATAGAAACTTTGGCCTCGTACAGTGGGATCGGTTCATCCAGCTGAGGCCTAAAGGGAAAGAGTAAAAGTGTCTGCTGAGCACACTCAGATCAACAGGGATGTCACAGGACAGACTTTACTTTCACTGTGTAAACCTCACTCCTTAAACAAAATAAAAGTTTTATAGCTTTGCTCGAGTGCACAGGAGGAGGGAAAAGCCCTAAAAGCAAACAGGAAACAGAATTTAATAAAAGTATATCCTTAGAGGGGGGAAAAAAGAGGTGGTGGTGAGGGTTTTGCTCAACAGCAACAGTTATCCTGCTTCGAGGGAAGGGGTCCCACCTCGTTATGGGAGTGTTCCTCTCTCCTGAAGCTCTTCTCAGGAGTGTTAGAGCTGGCAAGAGTTTTCTGCTTCTAATGCTGAAGTAAAAAAACCCACAAAGCCCCTGAGATCTCTCACCTGAAAATGCCACTTGATAATTTCTCCATGATATCTTCTAGGATGGGTATCCAAGAAGACTGTCAAGGAACAACAGAGCTGGAGAGAAACCTCTAAATAATCACGTTTGCTGGTCAGAGCCCTGGACTGATACAAGCCCAGCAGGATCCAGGCAAAAGGAAAATGAATCTCAATTCCAATCTTTAGATCAGATTTTTGCACTTGTTTCTATATGAGAGACTTTTCCCCCAATAGGATGAAGAAATGAAATATGGGATATTTCAATTCTTTCAATATAAAAATATTCAATATGAAATACAAGTGCAGCCTGCACTAGTACAACATTAATCAATTATTAATCAACTAATCAACAATTTTCTGTGCAGGATGAAGAGGACAGACTTTGGGACCAGATAACTGCCCTGACTATTCATACAGGCACCCAAAATAAATCAAAATACAACTGGGAACATAGGAGAGCCTGGGAATTCTTGGAGCAGAGCTGCCATCTGTGAGTTGATGAGTAACACCCAGGACAGCACAACAGATGGGGCTGTATTTAGGCTTTGTAGGAAACTCAAAAAATAAGGTTCATCCTTCATTTTAAGAGCAATCGGGTTGTTATTTGAAACTCAAGTCCTTTAAAAAGCCATCAGCTTGTGATTTCTTCAGACACTAATGCCAGGTGCTCCAGAATTTCACAAGATACACAGGTCCTTAAATCCAAACCCACACAAACCTTCCAGGACTGGAAATGTGATGCTCAGGGAGCTCAGTCCAGCTGCTCCAGCCCAAATTTAGAAGGCATTCTTCTTCCCATCATTCCTTTTCCCACACCCATATCTTCCCTCCATGCCTTCTGGGTACATTAACAAATAAGTACATTTTATGTACATTGCAAAGAAGGGAATGGTAAGAAGCCAAAATATTTGCACTTCTGCAGCGACCTTGACTGCATGAAGTTTACAGATGATGCATCCAATGCCCAAAAGAACAACACAAATCATGCCAGAGTTTCACTTACATAATATCAAAAACTTAGAGAATTAAATCTTCAACTAACTGCTTCAAATTTGAACCAAAATATTGCCTTTTTTGTCCCAGAAAAGGTGTTTTCTATTGCAGCAGAGCTTGTACAGACATTTTCAAGGCCAGAATTCCAAGTGCCCCCCAGAAGGATATAGAGATACTTCCCTTGCTGCACATTGGACAAGTTCCAGATCTCATCGTTCAGGAAGGACACCGTGGCTCCTTTAAGGAACAAGGAATGGCTGTCTGGAGGATCCAGCTTAAGCAAATGGAAGAAAAATGCTATTTAGTTACTTTTCCCCCTAAAAAAATAAAGGTTGAGTGGTTATTCATACAGATGGTTAAAACAGAGAAAAAAAATCACCCCTTGCCCATTCTTAAAACTGAGGAAACTGGTAATATTTACAGGTTTAAGTCATAGTTTTCTGTATATATATCTATATATTTTGTGTACAAGCTACTTGCTGCCACAGGTATCTTTACCTGAAGGTTTTTTTCTGTTGTTATCCAGTGTCCCCCAACCCCAAGCAGAGTGATGATGTCGTGCTTGTGAGGCAGCAGCTGGGATTTTGAAGCTGATTCATCTTCAGCACTATATAATTTCACTGGGGAGGAAGAATAAATTCATCTGAGCTCAGCAAAGGAGAATTTAGAAAATCCAGTATAAATCTATTTCCACACATTTCAGTGGAACTCCAAGAAGTTCTTCAGTTATTTCAGCTGAAAATAGTTGAAAACTCTGAATGTTTTGTATGCTTTATACACTTTATATTTTAAATACTTTATTCAGAATCATATCTTATATGACTGAATAGTAACTACTGCAGAGTTTTCAGCCATTAGAGATGGTTCAGAGTACAGGTTGCCAGTGCTGGCAATTTTGGGCAATTTTTGTATTAAAACGAGGCAGCAGAAACAGTGATGTCACAGCCCTATGCTTTGAACATACTTGTTTTATTTTCACTTTCAAACAGAGGAAGATTTCAGCTGAATTCAGCAGCTTCCACTAGAGGGTGACACAAGGAGGGCTATGGAATAAACTAGCTAAAGAATAAAAGCCTATGAAGTGCTGCAGCTCCCAGCCACATTCCTTGCCAATAATGCTGGAAAGCTCAAGGCAGTGGTGGTGTGAGGAGCAGCTTTCCCGCTGGGAATACCTCCAGCATCCAGCACAGTGTCCACTCCAATACCTCCAGCATCCAGCACAGTGTGCACTCCAATACCTCCAGCATCCAGCACAATGTGCACTCCAATACCTCCAGCATCCAGCACAATGTGCATTCCCAGCCCTCCCCAGGGAATACCTCCAGCATCCAGCACAATGTGCACTCCAATACCTCCAGCATCCAGCACAATGTGCACTCCAATACCTCCAGCATCCAGCACAATGTGCACTCCCAGCCCTCCCGTCTCCTCCAGGCAGCTCTCAGCCACGTCGATCTTGCCGTGGGCCACGTCGATCACCCGGGCTGGAAGAGGGGGACACGGGGGTAACTCCAGGGAAAATGCAGAGTTTACATTCCCAGTACAACAGGAGCCTTCTGGGCTCTCCAAGTATCACAAACCAGGCTGCAGCTGAGTCAGAAAAAAAGTCAAAACCCCTGCCCATCGTTCTCTTCCCTTTTACAACCCAGTGCAAAATCCACACCAAACCCAGGAATGCAGAAGTGAGACTCACAAATCTGTTGGGCCCAAAAGGACAACACGTGGTGCTCTAGGAATCAGAAATCCTTCTGTAAGTTTATTCTTTGCTATTCTTCTTGGCCCTTCAAAACTACCAAGTCCTGGAGTGCCCAGCTGTGTTACTGAAGCCAAAGAGTGGCCAAAAGATAAGGAGGCTTTTTATTTCCCATTACCTCTGGAACAACCACAGCAGCAAAGCTTTGGGTGAGCTCTCCCAGCACAGCTTCCCCTACCCTACAGAACTGATCTCACAGCAGGGATCAACTTATATCCCATGGCTGCCTGATGGTTTTAACCTGGAAATGACTCTCCAGGTCATTAATTAAAGAGAACATGTGGTCATAGTGTAATAAAGATGGCATATTAATTAATTAATTAATGGTAGTCACGTTCCCCATGTGCAAACAAAACCCCATAATATCCTTCTCAGTTTCTTAAAAGGTTGTTCCTATCACAGCAGTTTGACAAGGTATAAAACCTGCAAACACTTTCACTTTGTGAGAACAATTCTGATTTTGTGGACCCAAAGCCTGACTATGACAAAGAAAGGCCAGAGTTTCACCAGTTTGACTGTTTTCTGATTTCTGCTTAGTTTTGTTCCTTAACTCAGCACAGTGCTTCAAACTCCACTTATCAGAATCCTGGTCAAGTTCCTTCCTAAATAATGCTGGAAAAATTTCACTCCACTGTGGCAAAGGCTGAGAACAAACTAATATAATTTTTTATAATCCTTTGTAAATCATACACTTCTCACAAAGCATTTGAAAATCAGTTCAGTTCCTCCTTCTGTGACCTGCACAGCTTCCAAAGTCACGTTATTCTCACTGGCAAAACTGCAGTTTCTCTCTTCCATCACCTCTGGGAGAAGCAGAAGTCCCAGGATTTCCCAGCTTCTCCCAGGGTTTGCTCCCCCCCAGGAAGTTCAGCTGCCAAGTTTAAAAGCTGTCACCCAAAAGATGTGCTGGGGCTTTACTGACTGTGCTCAGGGGAGCCAGAGAGGCCTCCCCTGAAAGCTCAATGCTGGTGTTACAGAAAAAAAAAATCATCACACAAATCAAACTAAAAAAAAAAAAAAAGAATGGGGTATCCCAGGGAACAGAAGAAATATCTCTGTATGTATATATTCTTTTTTTCTTGTGTTTCCAAAAGGAACTCATCACATTATTAATGGAATATTCTGTCTCGAGTCTCAAACACGGGGCATTAAAATGTCAAAATTAGTTACAGTCCCCTCCTTCATCCTATTATTATATTTACTGCAGAGATTACTGAAGACATAAAAAGCCCCATCCTGTTGGTCTAAATACAAATCCTTAAACATTACCAGGAACTTCTACTTCAGGCACCGGGATCAGATTTATTAAAAACAAACCCCCAAAACCCAAACACAAACCCTGAGGCTTTTTGCTTTCACACTCAAACTGTTTCTCTCTTTAAAGCTGTACCCAAGTTCTATTTCTTTATTTGAAGTTGCAACTATAATTCCCCCCTCCCAACCATTCCATGGAGCAGCTTGTTATGCCCAACACAAACTGCTGCTCACTGAAAACTGAGAGACTCTTGCTAAAAAACTCCCAAAAAACCCACTAAACGAGCACAAAACTGAAAAATTTCTACCCACGGACATGAGGAGCCACTTAGAGCTTGGGTTACTCAGAGCCTTTATTTGATATTAACATTAAAACTTAAAACTGCTGAACTTCAACTGAACTCAAAACTGCTGCAAAAAGCAGCTCTGCCAGAGTCAGACTGGAATGTGCTGGCAGGGCTGGGAGAATAAAATTGCCAAGTCCTTCCTTAGCTCATGAATTTTTCATATCATTAGCAAAATATACCCATAAAATATTGCAAAGGGAAGATTTAGGTGTTTTAGTCTTTGACCCTGGTGTACCAAACCTCTGCACATCACCAGCATTCCCAAAAATCCTTCAGTTCTGATGTCTGTCATGTCTAGAGTACAGTAAAAGAGGCTTCTGGAACAAGGAAAAATAGGGCTTTTTTGGCAAGTTGCAAAAAAATAGAGGTAATACAAATATAAATAAAAACTCCAGAGAAATGAGTCTGCCAGGTCCTGCATTCCCAACAAAAGCTTTGCAGTTCCCTGTGGAGGATCATTCAGGTCAGGCAGCAGAAATGCTCTTGTGTAACACCAGGCTCTGCTTCCTGCAGCATTCTGAGCCTCCAGAGCCTCTGGAAGAGCTCCCTGGAAACTCCCCCCAGCCCTGCAGATGTGTGGAGGGCACACTGGGCTGTCTGTGCTCCCGGGAGCCGGGAGGGGATGGAATTTGGCAGGAACTCCGTGTCTGGGGAGCAGCTCCAGCTCCTTTGAGCCCTGTGCTCACACAGTGTCCCCGAGGCAGTGCCCTGTGCACCTGCAGAGCACCAGTGCCCGGGCTGGGGAGGCACTGGGAGCCACAGGGAGGTGGGAACACTGCTCCAGTTCTCCTGGGAAGGCAGGACTGCCGACAGCAATAGAGAGGGGGGAGAGCCCAGGGACTGAACCCCCCTGGTAATGGCATCTCACCCCAACCCCTGCATGTTTGGGCTGATGCACATTTGATAACTGGCTACCCAAGGCACTTTTTACAGTTGCTTTTCTGTACACTTCCTTGGATGCCAACAAAAATCATCCACTGACAACTGAACACAGTGACTGAACTGCAGCACCCTGGATTTTGGGGAGGAAACAGGCACCAGTTCTAACATCTGTTCACTGCCCTGCAATCCAACCAGTCCTTTAAAACTGCCTGAACAAAGAGGTATTCCACTTTCCTCCACAATGCAACATTGAAATAAGGACAAGTTTGATCAGAAAAGACTCCAGGAGCTCCTACATGGAGTATTTTCCCGTAGTCCAAGTGGCACCATTACTTATCAGGGAATAAAACCCCAAAACTGAGGTATCAAAGAGAAGAAGTCAGGGAATAACACAAGGATTGTGTGCAAGGCCAAGCTCATTTAGAAAAGAGGAAAAGGCAGAGCCTGGAGTGTCCAGGTCCAGGTGTGACAGCACCTGAGACTGAGCTCAGCCCAGCCTGGGAAGGTACTCCTGGGAGGAAAGTGGGGCTGATGAGCACTGGATGTCAGGCCTGGGGTCACACCTGGCCTCTGGCTCAGGGACCTGGATCCCACACTGGGATCCTGCTGAGTTAGGAACCCTTCCTTCTGCTCACAGCAACCACTGTGTCAAATGAAAAGCCTTCTTGAGCATTGTGCCTAAAACAGCACTCGAGCACTACTGGAAAGCCCTGACAGTCAACACAATTCAAATGGAGAATAAAAATGCCAAAAGAGACACCTAAACCAGAAATTAAACACCTATGGAGTACAGAAGTAACTTGAGAACTATTTAATTAGACTATTTACCAATTTTCGTTTCGGTTTTCAGCTACTGAAATAAGTCTCTAGACCAGACAAAATAGAACTATTTTGAGACATCCTTTAGGATAAAGTGAAGGATCAAACTTACCCACGGGAGGCCTGAGCCTCTCCAGGAACTGCTTGTCCTCCAGGCTGTGGGCAGTGCAGACGACTTTGGCCCCTCTGTGCTGGGCCAGCTGAACCGCGATGGTGCCGAACGGCTGCAGGGGGGGAAAGCAGATTCGTTCATTAATTCATTAATTCATTCACCTACAGCGACAATTTGATGCCCTTTAAGAACAACGAGATCACAAAGGCCATTCAGGAGAAGTCAGGGGAGTATCCAGAAATGAACTTACTCCTGCAACAAAACACAGCTGAACCAAGAATTGAACATTCACAGATCTGCTCCTGTCCTACGTGAGGCCAAAAAAGGTCTTTTCAGTGACTGGGAAGCTCTGAGCAAACTTTCAGTCATTAACTGGTTCTCCTCTTCAGCAGAATAGCTCAGATTCTACTTTAATTACCACAACCACCTTCCCTGCAATTGGAACTCGGAGCTTTGGGACCTGCTGGAGGAAGAAATGCTCCAAGGAAAAGCCCCAGCTGTGTTTCCATTACAGGACCTTGGCTGAGGAAGCTCCATGTCTCCATTAGCAACGAGGACTGCAGGGATGCAAATCAAATTATTTATTGCCAAGGAAAGTTAAAAAGCAGAGGTGGGAAAGGAGTAAAAAATAAGGTATAACTTCAGACTGGAACTTCATTCCAGTCTGAAGTTATACCTGAGGGCTCAGGGTAAAACTGTGTCACTGTACAACAGCAGAAAACCCTCCCCACACAGCAGGCAGGATGGAACTCCTGGCTCAGGATCTGATGTGGGAAAGCCTTTCCTATGAATCCATTCACTGCCAGCAGTGAGGCAGAAGCCTTGGGAAGTGCAGGTGTCCGAAATCCCGAGGCTCTGGTGCTCAGCCAGTTATTCCCAGCAAAGGGATGTGGTGTCCCTGCAGTCACTGCCCAGCTGGTACCTACACTGGCTCCATCCAGCACGAGCACAGTTGTCCCAGGAGAGGCCTGGGCCAGGTAGTGCAGGGCTGTGTAGGCCCGGAGTCCATCCCGCACCGTCCCGGCTGCTGCAGCCCAGCAAACCTTCTCTGGCTTCTGCACTGGGGGGAGAACACACAAACAAACAATCAAAACAGGGCAAAACCACCCAGCAAACCTTCTCTGGCTTCTGCACTGGGGGGAGAACACACAAACAAACAATCAAAACAGGGCAAAACCACCCAGCAAACCTTCTCTGGCTTCTGCACTGGGGGGAGAACACACAAACAATCAATCAAAACATGGCAAAAACACCCAGCAAACCTTCTCTGGCTTCTGCACTGGGGGGAGAACACACAAACAAACAATCAAAACATGGCAAAAACACCCAGCAAACCTTCTCTGGCTTCTGCACTGGGGGGAGAACACACAAACAAACAATCAAAACAGGGCAAAAACACCCAGCAAACCTTCTCTGGCTTCTGCACTGGGGGGAGAACACACAAACAAACAATCAAAACAGGGCAAAACCACCCAGCAAACCTTCTCTGGCTTCTGCACTGGGGGGAGAACACACAAACAAACAGTCAAAACACAGCAAAAGCGCCCAGGAAACCCCTGCCCTGTCCCAGCTGCTCAGGAGGGTTCCAGCTGCAAACAGGGCAAGGTCAACAATGCTTGTTTCCCTCTCATGTATTTAAAAAAAAAAACAAGGAGAAGATATCTTACCATCTTTTACCCAATAAAAGCAGGGATTTAATTTTGGTATAACCAAGTTTAAAGGGGTCACCTCCTAACTACATAGCTGGAATTCATGGACACTCCCAGAAACACAATACAAACTGATTTACAGTCACAAAGCCTCAGAGTGGTTTGGGTTGGGAGAGACCTTAAAAATCATCCATCCCACCCCCTGCCATGGGCAGGGACACATTCCATCAGCCCAGGTTGCTCCAAGCCCTGTCCAACCTGGCCTGGGACACTTGTAGGGATCCAGGGTCAGCCACAGCTTCTCTGGGCAGAACAAAATTTGAGCAGAAGAGCAGTTTGCTCAGTAACAAACTGTTGGGAGAAACACAGACACTCTCAAATTTAGTACCTTACTCATTAAAGCAAACTATGCCCAGAAAGGGAAAACTGGAAATTCATAATAATTGAAGAGAATGTTTCCAAACTAGGCTTTCCCTAATCCTCATTCCCTGAAAAATTCCTTTCTCCAGCCTCTAGTCTGTTCACTTCATCCCATCTGTTAATCTGTGATATTCATGGACTGAGTCAAAGTGAGGAAAACCAAATTTCTCCTCAGCAAATTTTGTGACAGATGAGGTGAGGAAAAAGTGTAACAATAATGAAGCAATAAAAAAGGGAAGTTAGAGGGGAGAAAAAAAAGAAAAAGGAAAAAACCAAAGTCAATTTGTGTGATTTGGGCCCAACATGAACCCATTAAACATCAAAGAGAAAGCCCTTGGGAGCACTGAGAGTTCAAACCTCTGTGACCAGGTGGAACAGCTGGAATGTTGGAATGGAAGGAGTGTGCCCAGAGGTCCAGGGGAATGAGCTCCCTGTTAGAAAAGCTGACCCAAAGTCTAAAGAGACAGTAAATATAAATATTAGCAAAATATACGATCTACATACCCAAATAATGCTCGTGAACCAGGATAACTTCACAGAGACCAGACTCCTCAGAATCCAGAGGTAAAATTCCTGAAAGGAAAGGAACACAGACCTTGAATTTCACACCAGCATCAGTTCTAACCAAACCAGCTCCTGAGGAAACCCCTGGGCCCCCTTGGGGTGGGTTCAGTCACCTCTGGGCACGTTTGTGACAGGCAAGAAAACCTGGACCCTGCGGTGTCCATGGGCACAGGGCAGTTCCAGAGGGGCTTCAAACGGCATTTTGGGATTGTCAGGTGATGTCTGAACCCATTTCACACTGAGTGTTCCCAGCTCCACTCCAGGCTGTGGCTCCCAGAGGAGGAAACAGGCCCAGAGCAGCCCCCCCAGCCCCCTCTCCCCTCCCAGCCCCATCCCTGCACTCGTGGGTTGCAAAGGCAGCACAGAAGGAAGCAGAGGAAGAACACACAGGAATGTGTGAGTGTGTTAAGAAGCTGGAATAGAGCAGAGAACTGAAGGGCAAACAAGGCACTCAGGGAAGGCAGAGAGAGCACACCCAGAGTAGGCAGAAATAAAAAGATCCCCATCCTGGTCATGGCAGAGCTTTTCCCTCCTCTGGCCACAGGAGGTTCCTGAACAGGAGGTTCTGGCATCCAATCAACCTCCTCAATAAATGTCCCCTCCACCCCAGGGAAAACCATTCTCTTCTTCCCCAAACCTTACACTCCATTGAGACCTTAAATCCTCAGCAAATTTGGCTGCTACTTCCAGTCTTTCCCAGTAAAAATGGTCACCCTACAGTAACTGTACACACCTGCAGCTCTCTCCAGGGTTTATCCATGGAATTATCAGTCTATGGGAGCTGCCAACAGCAGTTCCTGTGCAATGAGGGAATGAGGCAGGAAGGGCCACAATCTCTAAACACACATTCTTACTGTCCACTCTGTCCTGCCTTCAGAACTTCAGCCATCCTCTAATCCTTTAATTTAGCACACAAAACATAAACAGGTCTGAAAGAATGTCCCTAAGAGACATCTCCTCTCTCCTAAAGCACCATTCACATTTTGCTGGTTAACACAGTATCGTATTTCAAACCCTAGGAGAAACTTCTAGAACAGAATTCTCATTTGCAAGAGTTTGTTCACGTGACACCAGCTGAATCTTTGAAAACACATGTCAGATGTAGCTTTAACAATTCTTATCACCTCAGCCATTCGTTGTAAGAAGATTTCTGGTTGTGTCAGTTGATGAGGCCAACAGGCATTGACTTACCCACCACTTCATCATCCGGCTGGAAAAAGGTCACCTTGCTCCCAACTCACCAGGAGAGGGGGGAAAGGAGAGAAGAAGAGAAATGTTTATAGTGAAATGGAACGTGCACTTGAAAGCTCTGCTTCTCACTAGCTCAAAAAACTAAATACACACTGCTAGGGAAAATAAATAATTTATTAATTACACACACCCCACCCAAATTCAACCCAAATGTTGAATTCCCTAAACTTTGGCACCTCATCCTCACACAGTCCCATGCAGGGACACAGGGGGGAGTCTGAGAGAGCCAGGCTGGAACTGCACCCACAGGTGGATCCCCGGGGCAGCAGATGCACTGTGAGAGAACTTCCTGCCATAAAGGTGTCCTGTACAAACAGGATTTATGTGTTCTGGATGGCCAGATCCAATTCCTGCTCCTAATTCCTGCTCCCCCTCCCCAGACAATGCCACTGACTCACCTTCCAGCACCACTCCAGAAATCTCTCGTCCCACAGGCACGAGTTCCTTCTTCAGCTTAATTTCTGACAGAAGCTAAATTAAAACAGTGGTTACAACACTTACTGAGGCTCTAAATGTGCATATTTATATCATCTTACAGTGTTTGATCATCCCAGGAAGGAGGCTGGGCCATTCCCAGAATGTTATCCAGGGAAAAAAGGACACACTTTCCTCAATTCACATTAAACCTTGGCACTGATTTTCTGTATTTAAATTCAGAAGCATTTAAAAAATAAAACCACAGGGTTATTACCAGGCAAGACAACGTGGGACTGGGGAGTGCAGGGGAAGATAAGAGGGGTTTCCTGCAGGAGAACTCCCACGTGCCAGCTGACCTGTCCCCATGAACGAGCACCCCAGGCACAGGTGCTTTTGATTTAGAGCCATGCAGGAGCCCCCCAGCAATGCTGTGCCTCTGCACAGGCTCAGATGGCAGAGATGGGACTGGGCCAGTCCCCAGCCAAGGCCCTGGAGACCACAAACACCCCCAGCCTTCATCAAACCCCGGGGAAATACCTTTGTGTCCACCCAGCTCAGGGCACAGGCCCTCACTTGCACCTTCACCTCGTGGTCCCCGGGGGGAGGAAGGTTTTCCTAGGACAGATTTACAGAGGTTACATTGCACAGTGAGCAGGAATGTGCTCCCAGGAGCCTCTCCAGACTTTCCCACGGCCCCTGCTCAGGCTGTTGTGCAGGCAGAACAAGAATGTTTCCTCAGTGAAAAGGGATTTACCTCCCCATTTTGAGTACATGTGTATCACTATTATTATTACTATGATATTACCATTATTATCACTATTATATTCCTACTATTACTGCAAACTGGTCACCAGACCTCACAAAACCTGTGCAGATGCTGACATTATTTTTCTGTTGGGTTTTTTCCCCCTTCTCTGAGACTCAAATCCTGACAAACTCACTGAGATCAATATTCCAACAGTCCAAATGGTGCCAAAGAAACAGTCCCACAAGTGGTGCCTTCCTCCCTTGCAAAAATGTTCAGCTAATGAGGCCTCCCCTTCCTGTTTCACCTTTTGGGTTTGGGATTGATACCAGAAATGATCTGAAGGAGTTCAGTGCTGCTCCTTTAAATTCTTCAATGAGCCACGTTGAATTCTGTGGCTCCAGAGAGCTCCTGAAGAGCTGCCCCAGGCACTGGAGCACAGTCCTGTTCTTCCATGGTGGGTGTGTGCTGGAATTGTGATCCCAGACTCCACTGAGAGCCAAGAACTCCCAGGAGGACAGGAAACACCAGCAGCCAACACTCCAAACCTGATCATTTCCTCAAGCTCTGTTTCTACTTTTCCAGTGACCAGAAAACCCAACCAGGAGATGTGGACACAGGGTGAATTGTTCAGGCCTGCAGAGCTTGTTTTCAAAGCTTGGACAAGAAAATTGCAGAGAAATCCAGCACTTGGCAAGTGCTGCCTGACGATAAAATACACCTCTCCTGCCTTCAGTCCCCTGTCTGTGTTTGCAGGGATTCTACCAGTTCTCTTTCAAGCCTAGAGGAGATTGAAGTGCTTCAATTCCCTGGTGGCATTCAGCCAAACTCCCTCCTCCCTCTGCCTGATTAATGGAGCTGTTGTGATGGGAACTCACTCTTTCCTGGAACACAAAAGTCATTTCCTCTCCAGGTGAATTCTGCTGCCCAAACAAGGCCTTCATAGTGACCTGAACAAATACACAGAGACCAAACTGTGATGTCTGAATGTACAGAGAGCAAACAGCTCATTAAAGCCTTATTAAACTAAATAAATCATTCCAAAAGAAAACCAGCAACTGTTTGCAGGCAATTCGAGTCTTTGTCATTCAGAAGTTTTAAACCAGATCAACAGATGAGGCAACATGTGCTGTCACCTGCAACAGGTTTTGTTAAATAACACAGCAAATCCTCAGGGCTGAGAATCCCAGAATCATGGAATTATTTGGGTTGGAAGGGACCTTAGAGCCCACCCAGTGCCACCCCCTGCCATGGGCAGGGACACCTTCCACCAGCCCAGGTTGCTCCAACCTGGCCTTGGACACTTCCAGGGATCCAGGGGCAGCCACAGCTTCTCTGGGCAACCTGTGCCAGGGCCTCTCCACCCTCACAGGGAAGAATTCTTTCTCAGTACTCCATCTAAATTTCCCCTCTTTCAGTGGGAAGCCATTCCCCCTCGTGCTGTCCCTGCAGCCCCTCTCTAGTTCTCTTGGAGGCTCCTTCAGGTCTAAAGGCAGTCAGTGGTACACAGGAATTCCCGCTGGGTGCCCCCCGGCAGTCGATGGTCTCTTTGCCATCCAAATCAGACCCGGGAGGTGCAAAGGCCAACACGCCCCGAGCAGGAACGCGGGGACCCTTCCGTGTCACCGCACCACAAACCACAGCTCCGGCTCCTGGGCTTCTGTGCCAGCCCGGCGCACGGCGTGCTCAGCGCACAGGAACCTTTTGGAAAGGAAAGAAACCACAGTAAACCCGAGTTCACAAGGACAAAGTCCCCGGGCAGCCTCTCAGGGCTGCGGGACCCCGAGAACCGCGACGCACCCGCGGTTGCCATGACAAGTCGTCACTTCCGCCTCCGATCCAGGCACCGCCCCCTACCCAATCACGGCCCCCGGCGGCCCGCGGGCGATCCCGATTGGCTGCGATGGCCGCCGCTCGGCAAGAACGCCTTGTCGCGATTGGCCAGCGCGGCTGTCGCTCATCCCAAGGGAGGAGGCGGGAGCCGCCCGGCGGTGCCGCCCTGCGCGGCCTGAGGGGCAGCGCCGTGGAGAGGGAGGAGACATGGAATTACCTCGGGAGTTACTGCCGTGTGCAAAATAAAGGCGCCGCCCGCAGCCGGCGAGGAGAGTCCTGGGCGCTCCCTCCGCTCCCCGAGCGCTGGCTCCCTCAGCCTGGTAGAGCCGTGATTGGCCGGAGGAGGCGAGGCCCTGTGGCTTTCCCGGCTCTGATTGGCGGCGTGCCCTGTCCGTCACTCTTGGGAGGCGGGCAGAGCGCCTGTCAGAGCCTCGATCCACCGCAGGGGGCGGGGCCATGCCGCTCTCCGGCTCTCTGACTGGCCATCGCGCCTGCCCGTCACGCGGGGGGGGGCGGGCAGGAGGCAGAGCGCCGCGATTGGCCGGAGGGGCGGGACTGCGGCGTTGCCCCGCTCGTGATTGGTCTTGCGCCCTGCCCGTCAGGCGGGGCGGTGCGCGCGCGTCAGTACGGCGGCCGCACGGGGCCGTCCCGCTCAGACGGGGCGAGGGCGGCGATGGCGCGTCCGGCGGGGGCGGCTCCGGCCGCCGCTCCGGCCCCTCCGGCCCCGCGGGCCCCGCGGCGCGGCCGCGCCCGCGAGTAGGGGCCGTCCAGACATGAGGTACGGCCCGGCGGGACGGGGGACGGCGGGACACGGGCCGCGAGCGGCGGGGTTCGCCCCGGGCCGGCGGGGGGGCAGCGCCGCCGCAGCCCCGCGCGGAGCCGGGCCCGGGCCCTGCCGCCGCTCCCGGGGTCACAGCGGGGGTCGGCACCGCGGGGTGGGATCGCCGACCCGGATCACCTTCACTCCGCTGCCGCCGGGCGCCGCTCCCTGCGCTCCGTGCGCCTCGAGCCAGGGAACGGGAGCGCCGGGCACTGGGAGTGCAGTCCGTTGGGAATGCCGGGCACTGGGAGTGCAGTCCGTTGGGAATGCCGGGCACTGGCAGTGCAGTCCGTTGGGAATGCCGGGCACTGGGAGTGCAGTCCGTTGGGAATGCCGACCTTTGGGAGTGCCATTGGTTGGGAGTGCCATCGCCTTGGAGTGCCATCCGTTGGCAATGGCATCCATTGGGATTGCTGGCCATTGGGAGTGCCACTCATTGGGAATGCAATCCCTGAGCAGTGCCATCCATCCATTGGGAGTGCCGCCCCTGAGCAGTGCCATTCCTTAGGAATACCATCCCTTTGGAGTACCATCCATTGGGAGTGCCATTCATTGGGAATCCTGTCCCTTGGGAGTGTCATTGGGAATGCCGTCCCCGAGGAGTGCCATCCACTGGGAATGCCATGCCAGAGGAGTGCCATCCACTGGGAATGCCATGCCAGAGGAGTGCCATTCCTTAGAAATGCCATCCCTGAGGATTGCTGTGGCTTGGAAAAGGGCACCAGGGGAAGGAGGGAATGCTGTCAGGGAACGTTGCTGGGAAAAGGGAACCAGTGCATGGTTGTGTTTCTGTCCCTCCCGTGTCCCTCTGCTGAGCAGACAGGTTTGTGGATGACATTCCCTGTGGGTATCTTTTGTTCTGGTCCATTGGGGGAGAAACGTGGGGTTTGAGTGTAGAAAACAATGTTTTCTGTGAATTCTGCCTTTCTCTGAGGCATGAAGGGAAAACACCTCCATGGATCATCAGGGAGCATTGTTTGTAAATAATTCCTACTCGTAAAACCAGCAGCATTCCAGGTCAGGGTGGATCTCAGGACAAGGTTCTTCCCCCAGAGGGTGGTGGGCACTGCCCAGGCTCCCCAGGGCAGTGGGCACGGCCCCAAGGCTGCCAGAGCTCCAGGAGGGTTTGGACAACGCTCTGAGGGACAGGGGGGAGTGTTGGGGTGTCCTGGGCAGGGCCAGGGCTTGGACTGGGTGATCCTTGGGGGTCCCTTCAGCTCAGGATATTCCATGATTCTGTGATGCTTTATAACATTCCAGTGAATTGATACCAAATTCTCATTTGAAGTTCCCCCCGTGCCCCCCCGAGCCCTGTCTGGGGTTTGGGGGTGGCAGGAGGAGCATTCCCTGGCCCTGCATTCCTGTTCCAGGGGCAGGAGTGGGACCTGCCTGTGGGTCTGGGCAGGTTCCTGGTTGCATCCCGGAGTGCAGGGACAGGGAAGAGCTGCGTGGTTTTGTTCCCTGTAACCCAGCCATGTCTGAATCCCGGCATTCCCAGCCATCCCAGCCCTCGTGCTCCTGGTCCTGGCAGCCTGACAGGGGTCACGGGCGGTGCAGACGAGTTGTTTCCGAACAGTTTCCCCAGTGTCTGAGGCTCAGGAGTCCCTGGAGCTGAGTGGGCAGCTCCCTCTGCTCTTGTGCTCCACAAACCACACTCAATTCTTTCAGCTCCTGTGTTCCCTCTATAATATCCCACTGTCTTTCATTCCAGATAAGATCCTTCTCACAGAAGCTGTGCTTGCCTGAGAATTTTCCTTTATATCCCGGTTCTCAGATGAAGTGAGAATTGGTGTCTCAAAGCCACGACCTGCAGTGCCTGTTCTAGCTCTTGCTGCTGTTTGGTGCCCTTTCCTTAATCCCTCTAATCATGCAGTTAGGAGAGATTTGGATTCAGGAAAGAATGTGAATCCAGCAATGAAATAATTCTTAAATTATGATGTTGAATGGCCTCTTCTGGCCTGTCTTTGTCCTGTAGTCAGGGATTATAATTGTAGCTTTTACTGCATAACACCAGGGGAAGTTGGAATGGAAATGTTTGGAGAATAAAAAGAAAAACAAAGTTAAGGAAAACACGAGCCATGGGTTGAGGAGATCAACATGAGGGGAGTTTTCTGTCAGAAATCCTTCCCTGTGAGGGTGGGGAGGCCCTGGCCCAGGTTGCCCAGAGAAGCTGTGGCTGCCCCTGGATCCCTGGAAGTGTCCCAGGCCAGGTTGGACGGGGCTTGGAGCAACCTGGGCTGGTGGAAGGTGTCCCTGCCCATGGCAGGGGTGGCACTGGGTGGGCTTTGAGGTCCCTCCCAACCCAACCCATCTGTGATTCTGTGACGATGGAGAGTCACCAGAACACTCGAGTGTGCAGTGGTGGGGCAGGACAAACCAGCAGCAGCTTTGTTGGAGGTTGGTTTTGGGGGTTCCAGCACTGACCTGCTTGGAGCCAAAGAGAGCTGGGATTTTTTTGCCTTCTCTTTCCCATAGAAGTAGCCCAGGATTCCCGAGCCCCCGTTGAGTGCTGGGAGCTCTGGCTGCCCCTGGCTGTTGTTTCACAGCTGCTGAACTTGGGATGGCCCCTCCACAGCAACTTGGCTTTGTTTTTACTTGCCGAGCATGAAATTGGGGGGTGTGGTGGCCAGTCAGAAATGGGGGCCAGGCTGGGAGCTGGTGATAAATGGCTCGTGCACAGAAAACCTCTCTGGGAGGTGCTGGAACCTCTGTCTGATCCGTGGCACAAGGAGTTGCCCTCTTTTAAAAGAGCACTTTGTAAAGTTTAAAAACAATATACCAGATTCCCCTGGTTACTTTTGGCTGGCATTGTTATTACAGGCATGTGCTGGTGTTTTAATTGCAGATGGAAGTATTTCTAGCAGTGTTTGCCAGCCCTTCGTGCAGCCAACACAAACTCTGTGGGTTTGGAGGGCACTTGGAGGTGTCCAGTGAATCCACCTGCCTGGAATAAATCTCTCTCTGTGTGTGGCAGGGCTGGAGGTGGGCAGGTTCCTGATGGAGGAATTCCAGTTTTAGTTGTAGAAAAGCATTAAAGAGCAGGAATTAGAAACTAATCCCTCCTGTGCAAATGGTGCATGGTCTGTCTGCTTCAGAGCATCAGCTTCCTGAGCAGAATAGAAAACTTTATTGAACAGGAATTAAATGACTCTGTGTGGGGAGGAGTGAAAAGAGGTCTCCTCAGTCATCCTCAGGAAGAAAGGGTTTGGGTTTTTTTTTCTGAAATCTTTTTGGTGCAAAAGGTGCATTTTTCCAACGTTCCCTTCGTTGCAATCAGGCAAAGTGCAGAAAACTTAACTAACACAGGACCTTCCTGGGTTGTCTTTCTCTTAGCAAATGTGTTGAACTCCTGTGTGTTGGATGTTATGTTTTCCTTTTCCATGTGTTGTTTCTCAGGTAATGGCATGAATTAGTGGCAGCACTGACTGCCATGGGCTGGCTGTCAAGGTGCTGTTGGGTCAAAGGTTGGACTCGATGATCTCAGAGGTCTTTTCCAGCCCAACTGATCCTGGGATTCTGTGACTTTACAGAACTGGGCAGGGGTTTATCCTTGCATCATCTCAAGGTACAGTTTTACTTGCTCCATGTAAAATGCACGATTTGTAGGAAATAGTTATTAACAGGCTTTCAAAATACACAGAATAGCTGTGGTTCCTGACGGAGGGTTCCTGGAGAGCCACCTGGAATGGCTGGAACCTCTCTGGAGGACTCAGAATGAACCTCCTCTGGAGCATGTGGCTTTCTGTGCTTCCTACAGAACTGGAGATATTACAACAATTAAGTACACCTGTGAAACAGTCCAGACTGCCAGAGGGATAGATGGGATATTGGGAAGGAATTCCTGGCTGGGTGGGTGGGGTTGCCCAGAGAAGCTGTGGCTGCCCCTGGATCCCTGGAAGTGTCCAAGGCCAGGCTGGACGGGGCTTGGAGCAACCTGGGCTGGTGGAAGGTGTCCCTGCCCATGGCAGGGGTGGCACTGGATGATCCTTGAAGTCCCTTCCAACCCAAGTCATTCCATGATTCCCACTGGATCACACCTGCTGTGGGTGTGTAGTGCAGGTTTTCCAACATCCTTGGAACATCCCTGTGTGCCTGTGAGATCCCAAGGGTGCCCTGGCAGAGCTGCACTGGGGACACAAGAACTTCCAGTCGATTCTGACGGTGCTTCCAAGTCTCTCTGGGCACTCAGGACCAGTTCATGAGGAGAACATTGAACTGGTGTCTGTTGTCTGTTTACAAAAGAGCAACCACCCATCGTGAGGGGAAGGAAAAAAGGCATCTCTTGTTTTCCTGCCAAGCACACATGGACTGTCTGTCAGCTGCCCTCCCAGCTGAACTGTCAGGGAGAGATCCAGCCCTGGCTGCTGGGGAGGGAATTCAGCTGTGTGTGTGCAGGCTGGGACAGCCTGGGGTGCCCCTGGAGCTGGAGCTCTGCAGAGGCAGCTGCACACTGAGCTTCCAAAGGTCAAGGTGAGCCTGGGATGGCTCTGGGGATGGCAGTCCTCATCTTGTGTTACCATGTGACACCTGGGGCTGTGTTTTGGAA